GTCACAGCCGTCATCGCTCTGATGAGACGTTCGTCTTAACTGCCACCTCATCTCTGAGGTGGGTGTAAAAGCTCCCAGGTCACTCGAAGAAAAGCAGTCGAGTTAACCCTAACATTCTGTCAATCTTATTTATCCGTCAATCAACATCACGAAACTAGTTGGTCAAGTCACATTGCTGTTTGTCGGAGCTTACTGTACACAAATTGTCAACCACGTTTCCTACAGAACCAACACAGCTTTTTTTTAAGAAAAGAAAATACTAAATTGGCTGTGAGTCACCTTGGATTCTTGTGAAATAAACTATATAAGTGTAATTAATTCTATCCTCCAAACTCAAACTCCTAATTTGGGTTATACGTTTTTGATGTTGCATTTGGTCATCTCTAACAGTTTCCAAGCTGCTAACGGTGCAGCATTGTAAAGATGATCCTGGATATTGTAATGACCGGAAGCAAAGTGAATGAACCATGGGACCGCTGATACACAGTGAGATGTGAGTGTGCTATTGCACAGCTGGCTGACTGCTCAGTGAGGGTTTTGCAACGATGTGGGTGGTCACACAAAACAATCTGATGGTGTTGGTGCCTGTGGGGTGTCACCTTGTATTATCTCCATTGACTCCATCTGTAGAGGATGGCGTTGTTGATGATGGCAACGTAGGGCGAACACATATTCTCATAATGAGAAACACAGCAGTGGAAGATATCAGATGATGCTAGACATATTGGTGCTGCTCACACTCGCTAGATAATGACTGTCACAGTGGATGTGTCTTCTCAAGGCTGCAATCACTGTCCCACATCCTTCCAACCCCAAATAGATCTGCAGCATCAACAAATCACTGAAACCATGACCTATGACATCATTTTCTCCTCCTCTGATATCTTCAGTGACCTGGGTGAAGCTGTCTCGACTAACGCAAGGATCTCAATCTGCAATTTTCCAGTCGCAAGAGCATTCCAGATTTGTGCAATCCTCTAGTTCTGGTTTCTTTACCAGGAAGGTGCTGTATCTGACAGTGCTACACCTGTGCTGGGAATTGTTGATGGTCAGTGGTAAGAGCGCCTTACTGTGTCTAACCCATACAGTATCGTATTCTGATGGTATAATGAAGAGAAAGCCTCACTCTCTATCTAACTTGGATCCTCAGGAGCAGCTAATGAAACAATTTACAGGTGTCTGTCAAATACTTCCCATACAGGTACAGCATAGGTTAGATACATGAAAGAATTATTTTTTGATTTTTCTCAGCCAGGGTTTTACTCAGCTTTGAGACTGATATCTCTATTTCATTAAAAGCTGTGATCTACATCATCAGTCACTTCATCCATTGTCAGTTCCTGATAGATAATGATGCTTAGCTTTAATAATCTAACATTTTCGAGTTTTCCCATAACATTCAAAATTTTGAAAATCTCTGCTCGCCCTTTCCTCCAGCTAATATACATCAATTATTGGGGCGTTTCTTTATTACTGTAATCTTCCTTTTTCGCCCTCATTCTATTCAGTCTTTACCCCATCCTTTCCACATCATTATTATTCTACTTGTGAGTGGGTTTAGCACGATGCAATTATTTCGTTCCGTTTTGATATAAATTCGGCTATACTTGCACTTTAAATGTTCCCTTTACTTTCAAATGTCTTTATTTTTCTAACCGCATTTCTTCCTATGGTTCCCTTAGGCTGGTCTAAATCTAAAATTTCTTAAGCTGTTAAAATAAATTCCAACTACGTTGGACATGGAAACTTATAGCCAATTTGATCCAACCGCACCCCCCCTCCCATCCACCGCTCGAGTTACCACTCAAAAAATGTTGACCTGCTTTCCCGATGGAATGCACTAGGTGGCGATCGCCTGCTTCCACATCGTTTTTATTCAGTCCATCATAGCAGAGCAGACAAGCAGCAGCCGCACAGTCACATATGTCACTGGCTAAATGTTTGTTAGCGGATCCCTTCACAGCGGAGTCGGATGCTAAAATAAAATTCACTGGGACCATGTGGTCAGCTGCATCGAACAGCTCGATGCCTATACCCAACACTCACTTTAATGTCAGTGTTTGGTACCAGGAGGGAGGGCTACCTTGATATTGGAAACAAATAACCATTAATGAGTGTCAGAAATGAGTACTCATTTCTGAAAAAGGGTCTAAGACCGAATCGTCAGCTTTCCTGCTCCTCTGATGCTGCTTGGCCTGCTGTGTTCATCCAGCTCTACACCTTGTTATCTCAGATTCTCCAGCATCTGCAGTTCCTACCATCTCTGAAACCATTAATGAATGCTCTGCCGAAATCATTGAGGTTTGTCAGTTTTTATCTCTTGTCTTCCATTCTGAAGTGTCAGGTGAGAGGCTGGTCCCAAGTTTACCTCGGCTGGAATAGGAATTACATCCACATTATCGGCATTATTCCGAATCACACGCGAGCCATCTGAGCTAATTGGCCCATCCAGAGAGAAAACCTGTTAAAATTTCTTGTTGATCGTAAGAACAATAAGTTGAGCGCATTGTATGCCAATGAAGCCTGCTGAAGAATAGGACAAAAATGGTAGAAATAATCAATGGGTGCAGCAGCATCTGTGGAGAGAGAATCAAAATGAACATTTTGGGCGAACAGTCATTCATCACAATTAGAAAATTCTTCAGATGCATCTGGTTTTAATCACGTCCAAGGCAGGGGAAAAGACGAGTAGAAAAAACGAATGGCAATGCCTGTGATAGAGTGGAAGGCAAGAGAGGTCAGATAGTGAAAGCTGTAAAGAGATGGCAAAAATGTATGAAAGGCCATTTGGCCCATCATGACTGTGACCAAAAATCAGCTATCCTCCTCAATCCCACTTTACTGCTTTCAGACCATACCTTGCAGGTTACTACACTGCAAGTGTCTATCCAAGTATTTTTAAACACCATGAGGATTTCTGACTCTACCAACTTTCAGACAGGGATTTCCAGACCCTCACAATCCACTGGATGAGAACAATTCTCCTCAGCTTCCTTCAAATTCTACTAGTTTCTCCAAATCTATATTCTCTAATCAGTGATCTCCCCTGCGGCAGGGAAGTGGACCTTCCCATTCACCTTGTCCAGGTCTTTTACAATTTTACGCACCACGATTAAGTCTCCCATCCACACCCTCTACTCCCAAAAAAAGCCTACATTATCCTGATCCTAATAGGAAATGATATAATGGTAATGGGATAATGATAAGTAAACAAATATGGATCCAGCAACAGTGTCAATGGCATTAACTGAACAATGGCATATCAGCCACTATTAGTAAAGAGAGAGATGCGTCCCGTTGGCAGGAGATTCAGGTGAGCGGGACGCCCTGTGTATAATGTGCCAGATGTGCATTATGAAGCTGCAATGAACCAAACCAGTAACTTCGAAAGACACAAAAACAGAGAAAGCTGGCGAAACTCAACAGGTCTGGTAGCATCTATGCAGCAAGAAGCAGAGCTAATATTTCGAGTCCTGTCATCCTTGGTCAGAATTGTTCTGCCAGACCTGCTGAGTTTCTCCAGCAGTTTCCGTTTTGCACTCGCAGTTCTGCGTTTCATATTACATTAGCGGCCCGAGATCTTCGGGGCTGTTGAAGAGCGGAAGAACCCTCTCCTTCCCCAAGTGCTTCAGCTCTCATTAAACTCTGCATAAATTCTTCAGTTGGAGACTTCGGCCAAAAAAAACGTCTTGCCGATTTGAAGCGGAACTCCGACTCGTTGCAGTGCACTTAATAAATTCCGTTGCAATTACTCATGGCTCCCTGTTCCTTTAGATTTCCAAACTAAATAGTAATAGGAAGGGGGATGGGTGAGGAATTACATGGCACCACACAAACGCATATACACTACTCAGGGCGTGTGAAGTCCAGATTTCGTTACTGGGGTATCTGCGTGTCAGCCTTGCAACTCCGTGTGACGCTGTGTGTGGTGGGTGAGTGCAGAGCACTGCAGAAATCCTCACTTCGGAGCAGTAACCTGCGGTGCGCAGTCGGAAGCGACCCCGGCTCTCGGTGTGCTCTCTTCACTCTGACAGAGGAGACGTGCCTGACTCCCTGACCCTGCCCGAGTGCGTCCTGAAGTCGCTGCTGAAGAATCGGGAGTACGGACCGCAGTGAAAGACAGAGCTTCTGAGGACTGAGGGATGCGATGACAGATTCAGGCTGCGAAAAGCAAAAGGACCCTCTAACACTTCTCCAGTCTACCAACGGTGGAGAAAAACGTAGTTTTCCCTTGGAAGAAAATGAACAGTTTGAGTTGAGTGGCATGAATTTTGCAGGCGCCGAATAGGATTGAACTCTGAGCGTATTCTTAGTAAATCTTTCCAAAGAGGAGCCAAATCCCGCCGTATCTATCCTTCCTGCAAACACAGATTGGAAGAGCAGCGGCACGGCGTGCCTTTCCTGCGGTGTGATTCAGTCCTGCCCCGGAGATGTCAGTTCCTGTCACGGCAAATCGGACCCAGCGCCCAGTCGGCGGGCAGTCGCCACTCGGAGCAGTCGCCCTGGCCACGCCGTGCCCGGGCTGCTGAGCAAATCGGGTGTACGAGGCGGGGCGGGGAGTACTGGGGCTGCCGGCGTCGGTTCCATGTGGGCAGCAAGTCAGGAGGCGGCCGGAGCTGGGCGGCCCGCACCCGGACCGTGGCAATGCCAGGAGAAGCAGGGCGGGAAGAGGCAGAGCCCGGGCGGGAAAAGCCGAGGCTTTAGATCCGGGGTCAAGGTCAGGTCAGGCGACGAGCTTTCCAGTGGAGGCGGGAAAAGGGAGGAATTGGGGGGAAAAAGAAGGAAGGGGAAATAGGGAAGGAGTGGGGAGAAGGGCGGGAGTGGGGAGAAGGGCGGGAGTGGGGAAAAGGGAGGGAGTGGGGGCACCAGGGAGGGAGGAAGCAAGAAAAGGGAGGGAGTGGAGAAAAGGTGCGAAAAGGGTAGAAGGCAGGAAAAGGAGCAAGTGGAAGAACAGGAAACCGGGTAAAGGAAGGGGGGGGTGTGGTGAACCGAGGGCAAGCATGAGAAACGGGAGCCTGTGGAAGGAACCGGGAGGAGACAAGGTGCTGGCCGGCCGTGTTTTGACCGGCGCCTTGCTGTCCGCCCTCATCCTCTTCACGCTCCTGGGTAACGCGCTGGTGTGCGTGGCCGTGCTGCGCTACCATAACCTCCGCGCCAAAGTCACCAACTTGTTCATCGTGTCACTGGCGCTCTCCGACCTGCTGCTCGCCGTGCTGGTCATGCCATGGAAAGCGGCGGCCGAGGTGGCGTCCGGCTGGCCGTTCGGCCCCTTCTGCAAAGTCTGGCTGGCGTTCGACATCATGTGCTCGACCGCGTCCATCCTCAACCTGTGCGTCATCAGCGTGGACCGCTACTGGGCGATCGCCAGCCCGTTCCGGTACGAGCGCCGCATGAGCCGCCGCCTGGCACTGCTGGTGGTCGGACTGACCTGGGCGCTCGCCGTGCTCGTCTCCTTCGTGCCCGTGCAGCTTGACTGGCACACGGCCCCGGCCGCCCGCAGCAGCAGCGCCCCGAGACCACCCCCCCGCGGGCAGCGTCCGCCCGCTAACTGTGACTCCAGCCTGAACCGGGCGTACGCCATCTCGTCGTCGCTCATCAGCTTCTACATCCCGGTGGCCATCATGCTGGTCACCTACGGCCGCATCTACCGCATCGCCCGCGTCCAGATCCGCCGCATCGCGGCCCTCGAGAGGGCGGCTCAGCACGCCCGCAGCTGCCGCCAGGAGCAGCACCGCTCGCTGCGCAGCTCCTTCTACAAGGAGACCAAGGTGCTCAAGACGCTGTCGGTCATCATGGGCGTCTTCGTCTGCTGCTGGCTGCCTTTCTTCGTCCTCAACTGCCTGGTGCCGTTCTGCGACCGCCGCTCGCCCTCCCCGCCGTGCGTCAGCGAGACCACCTTCGACGTCTTCGTCTGGTTCGGCTGGGCCAACTCGGCCCTCAACCCGGTGGTGTATGCCTTCAACGCCGAGTTCCGCCAGGCCTTCTCGGGCCTGCTGGGCTGCACGCGCGTGTGCTGCGCGCCAACCGCCGGCCGCGTGCACAGCGCCAACATCAGCAACGAGCTGGTCTCCTACCACCAGGAGACGGCGCTGCAGCGGGAGGTCGCCTGCGCCGACATGATCCCCAACGCGGTGCAGCGGGCGCCCGCGGCCTTCGACAGCATGTCGCAGATCTCCGCCGCCGCGGACGAGGACGACGAGGAGGAGGAGCTGGCCAGCGACTCTGCGGCCGAGCTGGGCCTGACCTTCTGCAAAATCACACCCTTCACCCCGAACGGCGTGCACTGACCGCCGCAAAATCCACTGGGATCTATCTATCGATCAGTTTGGATTGGGAGTCACAGCAGATTAAGTCCACTCGGATGTGGGGCCCTTTCCCCACTAAAGGACAGGGCAAAGTCCATCGATTGAAGTGACAAGCGGGACTGCCGTCCGTAGGCAGAACATTGACAAACCATCATTAAACCTCCCAAAATAAATGTAAACGAGACAGATGTTTCCGTACTGGGAGAAAGTAGAGTGTAAATAGCTTTTCACAACCTGTCCCGTTCAGTTGACAAGATCTTTTGCAATTGCGGGGAATTTTTGTGTCAGTTGGCGCCTGGGTAATTGATATCCGGGAAACTGTCTTGCTTTACTCGACCCCCTCATCATGATGGATCCAAGACTTCCAAAGACTGTCCTCTGGGACAAGTAGCCCAGACTCAGTTTCCTTCTTCCTCAAGATAAAGAAACCCGATGAACTCCTTTGATGGTCAGATTTCCAGGTCATGTACATTTGGGAATGGTGGCGTGATCAGATCTGTTGAATATTTTAATGACTGCAAGATAGCAATCAGATGTAACAATATTTTTTCATGATTTGACAGCAGTTCGTTAATTTATTTTAATTTATGTAAATAAAGTTTTCCTACACCAAATCGGATGTAATTTGAATGATGATGAAACGCGCCTCTTGTATTTTTTTCCGGTTCCTCCTCAAGTAGTAGTAACCTTCCAGTACCTTGCCCAAGTGCCTATTGTGCATGAGCGAGGCCAGAGGGTGAACGTTCATACTTTAATCAATGGGCATGAGGAAGGTTAGCTCACTCGCACTCATCCCATGTTCTCACAAACATTTTCCAGCAAGAAACATTGCAAAGAAAATGGGGGAGGGAGCAGAAGATCAAGGGCGTTGAGTCCAATTGTACCGTCTATTTTGCCAGTCTAACGCAGTGCAGATCTGGGATTTAATCCCACTCTGTCAAGCACATACTATCCAAGGGCAATAAGTCACGGCTACTTGCTGCCTGTGTGAACTGGTCCATCCAAGCATCCATACACTTGAGGGTGATAAGAAAAAAAAATGTAATTATATACACCTAGTTTGCACCGTAGCCACATTCCAAGAGAAAATATTAAACGTTATGTGTTCCCAGCTCAATTTTGCGCTCGTTAAAATTAATGAGCAGAAGTCTGTTGAGAATGTGCCAAATACTCCTTATTTGGAAGGAGTTGGGTACTTTGCAAATCTTCTTTATCTGAGCTTTTGGAGCACTGTTTTACATGATTGTTGGGAATAACATTGATGGGTACCTGTTCATTCTTAAAATTCAGTATTATGAATAACATTATACTTCCCCAATAGGGCAGTTTTACAAGAAAAAGAAGTTGTCATAGAATGATGCATTACTGAAAGATGCCATTCAGTCCACTGTGCCAATGCTAGCTCATTGGTAGAGCTATCAAAATAGTGCCATTCTTTCCCCATAATAGTAAGATTTTCTTGTGTTAGTAAAACAACTACAGCACAGGGTTAGATTCTTCACTCTATATTGAAAATCTCTTGTAAAAGTTCTGGTTGCTTCTCAATCGAGAAGAAAATGAAAGCACATATTTAATGATATAATGAATATATAAAATAACAAAGAACATGAACTTCTTTTAGCAACTCAGTTCCATCTTCAAATAATTTTTAGTACAATTCTGTTCAGAGATATACAAAGTTCTCTTTTAAATCTTCTCCCAAGATAGAGGAAGAAGTCAAGGTTTTGTTCCTAACAACAAAAGCATCACAAAATGATGCACAATATTTATTTTAAATTATAGATACCCTTATGAAAAAAGTTATGTGTGGTAATTCCTCAGTTTATATTAAAACTAGCTGTCATTTTAATGTCTTTAAAACAACATTTGAAGTGCATCAAAGCCAAAATACTATTTTTCTTTAACATTTTGTTCTGACATCCCCAAAGTTTACATAAGTATTAAATTCCTTCACAAATGTCTTATTATCATACCTGTATCTTATGAGCAGCTATTATAGTGCCAAACATTTTCCTCATCAATAAATCCTTAACTCTATAATTATCCCAACTCCAAAAATATCAAAAGTGCTATTGCTTTACTGGGTTGGATGAGGATGTTCTTTCATCGCCTCTTTCATGTTGAATAGGATATAAGCAAAAGTTTGTCCTGTAATAGACAATTGCTGTCTTATTCCTAGCTTTTAAGCTCCCTCTGTTCACTCCATTTTTTGTCTCTTATGTTCCTACCAGTGCATTCTGAAACATTACCCTCTCATTTCCAAGTTGCAGATACACCATTCTACATTCCCTTGTTGCTCCCGACATCTCCATTATATTAAAAACAAAGCTCAATGTCCCGTCCAACTGTAACAATCTGTTTTGCCAGGACTTCAAAACTTTGGAATTCCATTCTTTGTTCAGTCTTCCATTCCACTTATACTCAAGTTTGGTGTCACCAGATCTCTGATCCTAATTGCTCCTTAGCTTCACTTATACCCTCTTCAAACTTGAGGCTGTGTCATGTTATGAACCATACGCCTTTTCTTTGGAACTTGAATAAAGTAATTCTTAAGTGTTTTATTAATATTTGCTGATCACATGAGGACATTTCTGTTGCAGGTGATCTCTTTATCTCTTAAATAAGCCTGTAATAAATGAATACGTAACAAGATTGTCATGTAACCATAAAGCAAAGAGAACACTTTGGAAGAAATACCATCTAGCTTATACAGAACCTTTTCAAATGCAGAGTTTACCACATTTGGTGTAGCAAATTCAGTTGACACTTAGCGGAAGTTACAAAGTTTACAAATCCTGACATTACTAGAAGTGATTTCCTTTCTCAAGTTGGGAAATATAGCTGTTAAACATAGAAATTGCACAGAACACAATGCAAATATGCTTAACCAATTTGTATGAAATGACTGTCATTTTAAGAGAAGCATTGTTTTCTTCTTAAACTAACATCTTGCAAAGTAATTTTGTACAAATGTGCTAAGTGTTTACATTCTAATACCACATTGTAATTTATATTAATATGTAACAGCCTATGTATAATAAATATCAAGTTGAACATAATAAGATTGAAATTGTAAAAAATAGTGATGTATCTGGTTGTATAATTCAAGAGTACTGTATGTGTGCATTGATATAAAGTCAACAATTACATTTTCTTGGTGTACAAGGAATAATAAAAGACCTTTGACACCGTGGATTTTGAATATTATTATTTCTTTGCTTGGACATGCTTCTGAGTCCAGTTCCTTTGTTATAATTTATGTAAAAACAGTTTTAAACAGCGTCAAATCCATTTTACAGCAATACAAGCAGTAATGTATAAGAAATCATAATGCAACAAAAATTTCACATTAGTAATTTTCCAGTTCATAGTCAGTGGAATTTGATTTGTTGATCATTTCTAATTCTATCATTTGCCATCATGAATGTAGACCAAAGATCTCAACTCTGAAATTGGCTCCTTAAATCGTTGTGCACCTCTAAATTTCTTTCTTCCTTTAAGACAAACTTTAAAACCTATTTCTTTGAATAGACATTTGTTCATTCGGTTTAATAATTCCAGACATGGCTTACAGTCAACTTTTTTTGATAATTCTCTTTAAAATCCCTAGGGACATTTTTATTATTTTAAAGGTGCTTTGTGAATGCAGTTGTTGTAATTGACCATTAAAAAATCATCAGGATATATGAACATAGGAACAGGAAAAAGACTATTTTTGCAAAATCGTGGTTGATTAGTACCTAAAACACATTTAAGCATCTTTGTTCCACATGTTTTGATAAACCTACTTTCCAAAATCCTATTGATCTTAGGCTTCACAAATTTTAGTTGATCCATCATTCACACTTTTTTGCAGGGGAAATTCGGAGTCCATTCTTGTATGTTGAAACTGTTTCCTGGTGAACTCCTAAATGACCCAGATTCAATTTTACAATCATATCCTTTTGGTCTGTAAAGCCCTGAAACAGAGGAAAGAGGTGTTTTATAGTTGCCCAATAAATTCTTTCTATCATTTTAAACACCTCCATTAAGCATAAGGAAATATAATATTACTTCATATAAACTTTTTTTATAATTTAATCTGTTTTATCTTGGAAAGACTATGGTGAATCTGCACTGGACCCTCTTCTAAGCCCATTATAAATTCCTAGAGTTTATTGTCTAAAACTGAACGCAAGAATCTGACTAAGTAATCTGAACAAGGCTACATGGAATTACATAGAATTTTACAGCACAGGAACAGATCAATCACCCCAAAGATACTCTGGTGTCTATCTTTCATATGCGCTTCCCATCCATCCAATGAATATGTTCAGCTATTCTTATCTGCCTGAGGGGAAAAATAGACAATATAGGCTTTCTGTGATCACAAATTACATACTAAGATTTAGAAGATGTACTAACTGCTAGAAGATATGAACATGTAATGATATTATTGGATAATATAGTCATGTGTACCTACTTGGATTATAAACTATGTGGACGTGGTTGGGTAGAGATATGCATGAGTAAATGTATAACCCTTCGAATGGAAGCTTGTTATCTTAAAAATAGTATAAGACCTTTGTTCTTGCAATAATGATTCTAGCAGTCTGCCATTTTAGGATATGTACATCTCCCATGTATGCATCTAGTCTAAGGAAATAATGGGTTAAACTTGCTGTTTTATTCCTTATATACTTATTGAACTTCTTGTTAAATGAACTATGCGATTTGTCTAAACTACTCCTCGTGATAGCATGTTCTGTTTTGTCACCATCCTAGAAAATAGAGATATCTCCTGAATGATTTATGATTTGTTTGTTTTATTTGTATTATACTTGTGGCCCTTAATTTTGGAACATAGAAACATAGAAATAGGAGCAGGAGTAGGCCATTCAGCCCTTCAAACCTGCTCGACCATTCACTATGTTCATAGCTGATCATCCAACTCAGTACTCTGTTCCTGTTTCTGTGCCAGCTTGAGTGTTCGCTGAGGAGTAGCATCCAAATAAGTGTTTTTATCCATCCTTTCCCCACGCCTTCCAGAATGTTTGGTGGCCTTTGGCCAAAGGGGTCATCAGCTGGGCTCAAATCATCCTACTATCCCAGCAATCAGTCTGATTGAGTTTGATTTTCATCAGGGAATGCTATGACTTGTGGATCGTAAGTCTAACTTATGCTGATAGGAACCAACAGTCACAGAGCTTCCTAATGAAAATCTTAGGTCCTTCTAAGAAACGTTTGCAGAGGCAAACTTTTTGGGATGTTTTCAGTGTGTGCATTTCAAGTGCTGGGATACAAATTGTTTGTCAATTCAGTACTGTTTGGTATGAGATGGCAGTAAGGCTTCAGTTGAATTACCTCATAATAAAGCCTTATCTCATCCCTCTGGTACTCAGTTTCTGCTATGGGTCACCATGGTCATGATCAGAGCTTTGTTCCTCCTATTTGGTATTATTGGACTCATCATCTGTGGAAACAAAGTGAACTTCTATGCCCTCAGTCACAAGATCTTTACTTCTTTGCAGTGTCAGTCTGCAATGCTCAGCACACAACAATGATCATGGAAACAGAATCAGGTGCCAGCAGAGCAGTGGGACTGTATCTTCAGCAAATC